GAATCTCCAATGCAATAACTGATTCCCCCAAGGACAATCAGAGGTTGCTAGAAACGTCAAGTAATCACAGGTTGCTAGAAACATCAAGTAAAAGACTGTTAGACAACAAAGATACTTACACAGTGCCAAAGGATCAACTCAGTGACTACCTGGTAACTGTAGAGAGGGAAGATTACTTTTATGTTGGATAGATAGCATCAACTACTAGTAAGACAGTCTGACATCATGTGCCTCCTATGAGATGCTCTCTAAAGTATCTGTCATCATCCATAAAATATTCCAGTTAAAAAATATTAAAAATAAACATAATTAGTATGCTGAATCTCATTTACAGTTTAGAAGAAACTATAGAAGATACTCCCAGACTAAAATCACAGGGACATTTAGGAACAACATGAAAATCTGAGTTTGGTTATTAGGTGAAAATTTCACTTGGATATTAGACGACATAAAGGAGATACTGTTAATTGACCTAGCTGTTATAATAGTATGATAACATATGTAAATCAAAGGCCCCTATTTATAAGAGTTTCATTTTGAAGCATTCAGACATAAAACATCATAATGTTGGAATCTTATGTTCAAATGGATCAGCAAAAAAATATAGATAAGTAAGGACATAAAGCAAATATGACGGAATGTTAACTGAGCAATCTACGTGGTATGTATATGGGTGATCATTATGATTTTTTCAACTTTTCTATACATTTGAATTATTTTGTAAGTTGAGAGAATACAAATAAAAATTATTGTAATAGAAGAAATAATTACAAAATGACCAAGTTTTAGAAAGTAACAGAAATATTTCTTCATTGTGATAAATATATCTTCCCACCCTTAACTCTTATCTCATGTTTTCATTTTAAAATTCTCTTTTGTACTTAGCAAAGTATCTCAAGAATGGAAGAAAAAGTATCCAATGTACTTAGTATTACTATGAAACCAATTTATAGCTTCCACATGAAAGCTATAACCCAATTATAGCCCAAGAAGTAAGGGAAAGGGAGAGGAGGGGAGGGGAAGGATGGGTGAAGAGTAATTGGTGGGACCACACCCACGGTGCATCTTACAAGAGGACATGTGAGATTTACCAGGTGTAGAATATAAATTTCTTAACACAATAACTAAGAAAATGCTATGAAGGCTATGTTAACTAGTTTGATGAAAACATTTCAAATTGTACATAAAACCAGCACATTGTACCCCATGATTGCATTAATGTACACAGCTATGATTTAATAATAATAAAAAAATCTCCAACTCGAAATGCTCTAATATGAAAACAGAATAAGTTTATTCTCAGTGGCATTTGGCCAATGGTTATGAGCTATAATAAAACCTGTATAGACTGGTACTGATGGAACTAGAAAATTATTTTCACTGATAAAATAAAATTTCATGTACAGTCAAAAAAAATTCTCTTTTGTACTTTACATATGATTTAACTGTACAACAGAAGAGATAATTAAGACATCAGCAATCAGCGCTAAATACCAAATATAACCCACAATGTCCCCATGTCTAAAACCATTTTAATACAAATAATTAGGTTAACAATTCTCTTGTGACTATGTGATGGGTAGTGCAGAACAACCGTTAGAATCTCTAAGTCTGCTGATGTCATTCCTCTTAATCACAGCCCTGACTGACTACAGAATCCTGTCCATCACCTGCCCACTGGCCTTATTCTTTTCTTTATTACTACAAGAAAAAATAAATCAATTTAAAAAAGGTCAGTTCAGTTAGGACACATAAACACAGTAATAGAGGAGTTTCATTATAAATGTCCTCTTTAAGTTTAAATAGCAAAGATTCAACACGTATCTAAGCTACTGTGACTTGGGAGGCTGAGACAAGAAGATCTCTTGAGCCCAGAAGTTTGAGGTTGCTGAGAACTATGATGCCATGGTACTCTCCCGAGGGCAACAGAAGGAGATTCTGTCACCAACAAACAAACAACACGCACCTCCATTTCAGAGCTACTTTTTACTTTCAAAATGGATTCAAAATGGGGAAGGAGATAGTAAAAAGTTTAATTTGGCCTTCTAAATCTAGTCTAGTATGTCAGTGAGGAAACAGAAAAACTGTCCTTGAATTTTTATCTATTTTCAACCTATCCATTAGGAAAAGGGTGAGCCATATAATTTTCCTTACTAGTTTGGCAAATTCTAGCTGATCTCTGAGTCTATCTCCTCATATATAAAACAGAAATAATATACTTCAACGTAAAACAGGGCAGCCACACCTGCTCTGCCCACCTTAAAGGGCTGAGATAATGCAGCTAAATACCTTAAAGACTGTCTTCAAATAAAACAGATGCTTTGACAATACCATTTATTTAGACTACATTTTAATTTGATTTACAGCTATTCACATTCTGTGGTATAATGTATAAGAAAAAAAAATTGGTAACATTTCATTTTTACTACCCAGCTGTTTAAAACGTAAAGAACAAATTAGATATAATCATGTACACAGAACTCTTGTCAAAAATATTTAAGCTGAATTTAGAATGATAAATTAGTCACATATAAATTTGGGAACATTCTACAAAAAAAAAAAAAATTGGCCAGGACTTTTAGAAAGTATCAATGTAATGAAAGGCATATGTACATACATACATAAAGGAAGGAGGTTAAAGACACAATTTAGATGATTAAAAAAAAAAGACATGTTGACTAGATGTAATGTGGGATCTTTGATGGGGTCTTAGATCAAATAACAAATAATAATTAAAAAGAACATTTTGGAGACAACAGGGACAATTTGTTCTGTATATTAGATAATGTTATATCAATAATAAATTTCTTAAGAGGGACAATAATATTATGGCTATGAAAAAATGTCTTTCCTTTTAGGAGAAACATGCTGAAATATTCACTGAAAAATGTGACACTGTTTGCAACTGATTTTCAAATGGCTTAGGAAAAAACATTTTAAGTAGAAAGAAAGCAAATGTGACAAAACATTAACCTTAGAGTCTAGGTGAAGGGTATATGGGGCTCACTATTTTATTTAAGCTTTTCTGTACCTCTGACCTTTTCAAAAGACTACAATGTGGAAAAGTAGGAGAGAGAATACTGCATGAACAGAACAAGACAAAAAGTTCGCAAGTAATGAGAGAAGTGTGTCAATTTTTCATTAATAAAATTATAAACCAAAATAAATTCATTGTTATAATAGTGACATATCTATTTATATTACTTAAAGCGATACTAAGCTTTCTAATAAATAAAATAGTTAAATTAGGAGGACTTAGTTATTATATATATGAAAAGTCTTATTGAAAAATTCCCTCTAGGTAAAAAGCACTATAGTTTCTAAAAGCAGGATAGAAACAGATAAAAGTGTTATTATTGAAAAAGATAATGGAAATAAATTTAATGTCCTTGTAGATTAGCAGACTGGTACCCACATGTTTGCAGGAGTATAATCATTATATATAAGGATATACAACTTTACATTTTTCTTTAAAAGAAAATTTCAAAGACAAAGAAAACAGATGTGATGACTCATATTTTATCATATGCTTCAATTCAATTGCTCTAAAGGCAAGCAAAATTAAACAACTAGAAACAATTAGTTGCAGTGCATGGGCAACTACTCCCCTCTAAGAGAAACCCCAGTGTATTTTACTACAGAAATGCTAATAAGGTATCCTAGGGTAGGAATGCTATAAAAAAGGGGAGGGAGTGGGGATGGTTAATGAGTGCAAAAATATGGGAAGAATGAATGACATCTGTGGCACAACAAAGCGACTACAGTCAACAGTAAGTCTGAGTATATTTTAAATTCAGTATACCATGTTTCTAGCACAAAGAAATGATAAATGCTAAAGGTGATGGTACCTTTAGTTACTCTGAATTGAGTATTACACATTGTAGGCCTGTATCAAAATATCACCTGAGCTGGGCACAGGGGTTCATGCCTATAATCCCAGCACTTCGGGAGGCCACAGCAGCAGGAATGCTTGGGCCAGAAGTTTAAGATCAGCCTAGGCAACATAGTGCGACCCCATGTCCACAAAGAAATTAAAAAAAAAAAAAAATTAGCCTGGTGTCATGGTACACAATTGTAGTACTGGCTACTCAATGGGCTGAGGCAGGATTGCTTAATCCTAGGAGTTTGAAGTTGCAGTGAGCTATGATTACAACATTATACCACAGCCTGGGTGACCAAGCCATACCCTGTCTGAAAAAAAAAAAAAAATCACATGTACCCCATAAATAACTATAACTATCATGAATTCACCATAATTTAAAATAAAAAATTATTAAAAAAAGAAAAAATTCTTTAAATTATCAGTGTAACATATTGGATACAATTTTAAAAAAAAGAAAAGTAAACTTTAATAAGCAATAGACTTGGATAATAGATGAAAACAAATTTAAAACAGTAAGATAAAAGAAACTAAGTCTGCCTTGTATTGAAAAGTTTTCTACATTATTTTAGGTAGAATATTATAGCTAGATTTCAATAATTTCCTTTGTGTCCAACCACTATAGATATACCTAACAGATTCTTTACGTGGTATAACCCTACTTTTTAAGTGCAGTATAAGCATTCAACTATTTTCAATCGACTGTCAGGCTTTCCTTGTGCTGCCAGGAAAATCAGAAAGTATAGTCAGAAATGTCTTTGTATGGGTTCATTTGAATACTAACTAGAAAAAGGGGCACTGTAATATGAACTGACAATTTATGTTTACGTAATATTCTCAGTAAATTAATGGAAAATTTAAATATTCTGTTAATATGAAGTTACACCCTCTGCTTTACACCTATTTACTATATAGATTTCCATTACTATGTTTTGTAGGAAACATTATTTCCCTGAATGAGTAAGTCCTGCAATGGAAAGAAAAATAAGAACAGATGAAATTATCTCTATGAACTAACTTGTTTTTACCCGTCCTTCCCTCTTCGTTATGACAACAATGTGAAGTGCATAGACAAGAACACTTGATAATGAATCTTTTTTCAAAATAGTATTTCATTTACCTTATTAACAGGCACTATCAAAGTTGGTTCCACTTTAGCTTCAATTTCTTCTGGACTATAGAAACAATAGAGTTTACCCCCTCTCAAGACACAATATAGCCTTCTCCAAGTAATCAGACCTTCTACCATTTGCTGAAAAAAAAATTAAGAAACTTTTATCAATTTAACTCATCAAAGTTAGTTATTTAGGATTTCTAAAATGTAACAGACTTACCCATTAATTTGCTCTCTAATAAGTCTAATTGCCCCAAATCCAAGAATAATTAATATCAGAAAAGTTTGGAATTCTCAAAGGCATTAAGTAAAATTGTGGTAATGATTACCATATAATGTTTACATACATAAAATCATAAATCAATGCAGTTTTAGAAAAGCCAGTGTATTAAAAATCAGTCCTTAGAATTCCACAGCAATTCATCAAATGACTAAGGAAAATTATAAAAATAATTCTCAATGTTCAAAATATAATTCTCCCTTACTGTTCCCAAAGCATTGGAAAATGTTGACTACCCTGTAAGAATGCAAATTTTCTTTCCCCCTAATGGAATCTTTTAGAAAAAGCTATTGATTCACTGAAGCCCACAATTAATTATTTACTGAATATAAATAACCATGGTTATAAATAAATCAGGAGTAGGTGGCACAGAGGCAGCATTGGAAGCACAGAGGCCTAAACCATGCCAAAAGCTGTCTGCCAGAAAGGCCTGCGTGTGAGAGGTGTTAAGCAGGAGCCCTCTGCTGCTGACTGCCCTGTTACTGCTGTTCACGAACGAGCAGAGGAGCCTGGAGAGGCAGCACCTCAGACATCAGAACTGCACTGGGCCCCACCCCTGCCATCCTCCACAGTTTATATCTGATAACATTTAGAAAACTGACATTTATAAAAATAGCTTAAAAAACCACCTCAAAGTTAGAAGGTCAAACAAGTATATTAAGATTTAAATTGGAGCCACGACTATAGGATAGTTCAAGTCCTCTCACCTGCTGATTCAGAAATCCTGCAAATGCATCCTCAGCCATACAGGCTGGCTGGGCAACTAATCGGCAGCACATGTTGCCATAGAGGGGAAGCCAAAATGAACACTCCTCTACATAAAGGAGAGAGGAAAAAAGTCAAGTTACAAATACATGTTATTACAGTCATTATACATTTTGATTTTTCTATTTTTACAATTTTCTTACTTTATACAAGAACGTAATTTAAAATTACTTTCATGTAAAGATTTACCTTATTTAAATACCAGGACCATATTTACTGGCAAATATAAGAAAGCAGAAAAGACAGCATAATATTAAATTGACAGTTCATGGCATGCCACCATGAACCAAAATTTTGTCTCCTAATCTTGTTTAATCTTACAATAATTATTCAATGGAGATTGTTCAGAGAACAATTAACCTCATTTAATACAAAAACATTCTAATAAAATAATTTATACAGCAGGACCTCTGTAAGTTGACTACCCCAAGGACTGTAATAAACCAGTCAATATACAGAGGAGGTCAACATAAGAAACTGCGTCTAGTGTACTGGTATGTACATGTGCTGCATGGCTTGTCTCTGAAAATTAGGTCACTTTAAGGAAGTGGTCAATGTAGGGAGGTTCTACTGTACTATGTATTTATCAAACTCTACTTTTTTGCTCTGATTTTCATCATAATAATTAACAAGGTGATCCTCTAAGTAAAACATTACTTCAGAGAACTACTTAAGATAATTTAATAAACAATTCTGGCTGTTCCTCTTCCCTGTCTAAATAATTCAGTTATAAACCATTAGGCAAAGCCTCCACCATAGGCATCTGTGTCAGGGGCTGCGGTAACAGCTATGGTGCACTAGGACTGAGAATTAGAGCCAGGCAGGGTGAGAAGGTGAGTAGGGCTGCCTGCACAGGGTGGAGCATTAGAATCCAAGAGGAATCTCTACTTAGAGGACGACCTGCTGTGGGGAGTCAGGGCCCAAAAGCAAAGTGAGGAGGACCTTTAGAGAGGTGATGGGGAAAAAGGGAAGGGTAGATGATTGATGGGAGGTACCAGAATCCAAGCAAAGTGTAGTAGAGTGTCCATGTTTGGGCAGGAGCCCAGCCATTGGAGTCAGTCTGAGAGCAGTGAGGAAGCCATTTATTTACATATGTGTTAGACTCAGAATACTGACAGAGCCCTAAGTCGAGTGAGAAGGCCATCCAGGGTTCCTTGGATAAATGGTGGAATCCAGGGATTAGGGAGGGCAAAGTACATGATGAGCTGGAATATCTTGATATGTTGTGAAGCATGGGCATGCTTGAAAGGTGGGGATGTGTCAAAAAGACACAGAGACATCTGGAATGGACTTCCACTGGCCAAACTGGGGACAACTTGAACCTCGTGATATCAACATTAAGATCCTCTGAAAAATAGGAAAATGTGAGTTTCTATTTACATAAATAAATCAATGAATAAATTGAAATTCTAATAAGAAACAGCACATAGTGACCCTTGAACATAGGTTTGAACTACATGGGTCCACTTGCATGTGGACTTTCTTCTGCCTCTGCCATCCCAGAGACATCAATACCAAGCCCCTCATTCTCAGCCTACTCAGTGTGAAGACAATGAGAATGAACGTTTATGATGATCTATTTCCACTTAATGAACAGTAAATACATTTTCTCTTCCCTATAACTTTATTAATAGCATTTGCTTTTCTCTAGCTTACTTTATTATAAGAACACAGTATGAAATATACACACAAAGAGTGTGTTAATCAACTATGTTATCAATAAGGCTGGTCAACAGTGGAGTATTTGGAGGAGTGAAAAACTACATAAGGATTCTTGACTAGGCAAGGACTGGTGCTTCAAAGGTTCACTGTACTTACATAGTCTTAAAGTAATCCCCTCTCACAAAACATGTATGAGTCACAAAGAAGAAAACAGAAGAGTAACTTTATAGTGGAGAAGCTTGGCAGACACCATTTTAATCAAGTGATCAAAGTGAGCACCTTTAGTACTGGGATGAATCAAGGAGATGCCACCTGATAGGATCCAATGAGAATGCAGCATCACTTTTGTGATATTTCTGCCAGAGAGACATATCCTGAATCTCATCCCAAGAAAATCAGATAAACCCATATTGAAGGGCCTTTTACAAAATTACTGACTATAATCTTTAAAAACATCAAGGTCATGAAAGTCAAGGAAAGACTAATGAAAAAAAGTCTAGATTGAAGGAAACAAAAGCATCTTCATCATTAAATGTAACATGTGGCTCTGCACTGGATCTTTTAACCATAAAGAAAATTACTGGGACAATGGGCAATACCTGAATAGAGACCAAGGATTACACGTTAGCAATTATTTCCTAACTTGAAGAGTTGTGCTGACGTAGACAAAGATCCTGATAGTAGGGAATATCTATTAACATATTTTGGTGTAACAGGCTACCATGTAAGCAACTTGCTCACACATTTTGGGGGGTAGAAAGATGTGGACATTCAAGCCAGGTATGGTGGCATCTGGTTATAGTCCCAACTACTCAGAAGACTGAGGCAGGCGGATCACTTGAACCCAAGAATTTCAAGGCTATATGGGTAATATAGCAAGACCTAAATTTCCAATTTAAAAAAAAAGAAACTCAACATTCAAATGGCAACTTTTCTAAAAAGAATTTGAGATTGTTTAAAAACATTATTTGTAAAAACATTAAGACATTCCTTTGACATAGTATGCAAGTATGCATACAGCCTTCATATGTGTATGGAGGAAAGCATTAAGTATTTTGTGCATCAAAGTAAACATAAAAACCCAAAATATGACCTTAGTGCACAATGAACTGTACAAAAAAGATTTTTAAAGTTTGTAATGAACTTCTGTTGGTAGTATATATAAAATACATAGCCACTGGCTGTAACTATTATTTACTTAAAAGCTTTGCTTACTCTGAAAAAGCATTTTTTTGGTAAAAATACAATTATTTAATACATTGATGCAAGGTAGCCAATGTTTGGTACATCAGTTAAAGGAAGAAGAACAGCCTAAACTAAGAGTACAAAGTAAACCAAAGTTTTAAACTTACCTACCTAATATTCTACTAAAGAACAGCACATAACAAAGATTCTGAAACTACTCAAATTTATTATTATTATCGTTGCAAAGCTGCTATCTTTTAGAAATACATGGTGGCTAACCTGGGAGAAATGAATGCACACAATACATGTAATGATTCCAAAATGCAAATACAGGTAAAAACAATGACAATTATCTTTCCTGAAATTGACATAAAATGAAATAAAAATTCCCCCAAAAGCATGCACCTGAGGAATGCTAAAATCAACTGTGTGATTTATAAATCTGTAGTTTGAGAAATTTTTTAAAATAGAGGCTATCTCACATTTATGAATATTCTAAATAAATATAAAACATTATGTTCTAAATATCTGTAAGTTAGTTGTTCTTAAGTTAGAATGAACTTTCTAAAGAAAGAGAATCATAAATGACCATCTTAGATTCTTAGACCAGTCTATCAGTTTGTACAATCAATAATCAGATGGAACCTAAACACCACATATAACAATGTGTTTGATAAAATAAGTTCAAATTTCATGAAAATTAATTCCTTCCTGACTGCAGTCCTTAAAAAGGAATCATGGATGCCCTTGCCACACATCCAGGAATCACCTGTTACTTTTAACCTATGTTTCTTTACAGCTTGGGATCACTGTGGAATTAAAAGCAGAGTTACAGCTTCTCTCTACACTATTGACAAGACACATGGACATGGCATCAAGGCTACTCAAGTGAGTATCAATTCTATCTGAGTATCTAAGTATCAATTTCTCATTTTTTTAAATATCATCTATCTTAACTAGGGAGGTTGTTACAAAAATCAAGATAATAATGTGGATATGACATCTAACATTGTCTCTGGAACATATTAGATGCTTCTTGTAATTTCATATGCAGGGTACTTCCACTCCTCAAATCATACCCTTTCTATTTTTCAATGTTGACTCTCAGTCTTTGTGCAACACATCAGTCAAAATACTTAATTCTTCTTTTCTAACTAAGGGAGGTATTAGGACAAGATGAAATGAAACTGAAAATAAATATTTTAACTAATTGATCCATTAGTTTCAAATAGGGAATAAAAAAGAGTTTAAAAACAATGACAACAAAACAGGCAGAAGAAAGAATCCAGATAAAAATCTCAGTTCTGAGTCAATCTTCATAATGTGGTTTCATTATCTCATAAAAAGTATAAAAACTTCCTGATGACAAATATAAAGCTTAAGATACCATTTGTGCTATTTCCTTCAATGATAGAAACAATTGACTTATAATTGTTAAAATACCTCGTATCTCCTCTTCATTTTACTGGCATAATTTTTATTATTACATTAACATACATAGCTAATTTTGATTTATACACACTTCTAGGGATATACCTGTTACTTAAAAAGAAGAATATAGTTTGATGTTTCTTAAAATATGTTCAGTTTCTTAAGCAATTTCTTAAAATTGTTTAGAACAGTTTCTGGCACATCTGCATGTTCCAATGTCAACAGTTTTGGGGTTTTCCTGTTTATGCACACGTCTTTTCACAGTGCTTACTAAGTTGAGTTCTGTGTTTCTCTAAGAGTGCTGTTAATACATATAACACACAACTTCCATGCTTACATGTCCATGAGTATTCTGTTGATGGAGAATCTAGTAATATCTTACAGGACACTAAAGACAGCTGAGTAATCATTGCTAAAATGAATGCTCCTGTTGTGAATTTTATTCCTTTCTACTGCTTTCAGATGATTTGTTTGAAAGAATGGGACCTTTCATCAACTCCTTTATCTTTGGACATCATGCTTTGGTCTTTGGGCACTTTCACGGTAATCCCGTCTGACAGTGAAGCCTCGCACGGAGAACACAGCCTGGGGGGGACTGTCTAAAGTCCGGCTCCACCACTTGCTAGCTACATGATCTAGCAGGTTACTTTTTCTAAGCTGTGTTTTACTACTCTGTCAAATGTGTAAGATAACACAATGAGGAACTTGTGAAGGTTACAGAACTAGCCAGTTGTAAAATTAGAATATGAACACAAGAGCAATGGATCTCCACCCTTAATCACTGTATTATAAGACTTCCTTAGAACTTCATCTCACAAAGTATGAGAGTAAAAATGGCTTTAAAACAGTTTCTGGCACATTATAGCTACTAAACATGTGGTGGTGGTACTAATAATTCTAGAGAACTGACACAAATGGGATAATAGCAACTTTGTTCATCTGATTTCCTGATAAAACCGATAATGCAAATACTGTTACAGACTTTAGGTTGGTTTATGGTAGGGTGACCAGACGTCCCGCTTTTGGCGGGACAGTCCCAATTTTTAACAATTTGTCCCGAGTTGTTTAAAAAACGCCCCAGTTTTTGGAAAAAATGCACAAATGGGCAGGAGAACAGTAAGGGAATATTTCGGCTGCCATGTGGCTATTTCGCCAGGATATGAGTTTTATATTATTTTTGTTAATTTTATAATGTTAAACTGTAATAATAACAATTGTTGAGAAGTGATTATCGAGAACTGCTTATCAAAGTTTGCATTGTGTCAGCCCCCCGACCCCCGCCCAATGGTGCCCTGCTTTACCAATGTTAAAATCTGGTCACCTTAGTTTATGGTGACGGCATGCCAGACCATTCAGGCCAAGTGTCCTACTGAAAACTAAAAATACTGAATAAAATATACTGTAAAAATATCCCCCAAAGCAACAAAGAGGTAACAAGACTATAAGAAATTTCTAGGACAAACCTAAAGATTAATGAAAACGACCAGAACCTATGTCTATCCAGAAAGCATTTACCAATCCTATCAAATCTGAACTTATGATTTAATGACTATGTATGATGAAGGAAGCAGAAGAGAAATCAAAGTTCAGGGTCTGCACAATGTAGCAGTTTATTTAGAGAGTCTCTGCATACTCAGCTGATATCCCAAAGAGATCACCAACAATGTAGTGGTGAACCAGAAGTAAACAACCTATCCAGGTTCCCTTTTCCTGGGGCTGAGAATAGAGTTCAGCTTGGAAGAAGTACAAAGAAACTCAGTCATGATCCTTGGATAAAGTGGGACTGGACTGACAGCACCTCCAAGTACCTACCAGAAGCAAATAGAAGTACAGAGCATCAATTTATTCCTAATATATAAAATTTCAATTACATGGACAGGTGTATGAAGATAACTAGACATGCAAGGACTTGAGATGCCATGAGTGAGAATTAGTTTAAAAAAAAATGACCTAGAAAGACTTCAGATAACTGAATTACTAAACATAAACTATAGAACTATGCTTATGTTTATTAAAAACATAAAAGATAATATTAATATATGCAGTATATAAAAAGTGACATAGAAGTTTTTTGTTTGTTTTTTTTTTTGAGACAGAGTCTCAAGCTGTGGCCCTGGGTAGAGTTCTGTTGCGTCACAGCTCACAGCAACCTCAAACTCTTGGATTTAAGCAATTCTCTTGCCTCAGCCTCCCATGTAGCTGGGACTACAGGTGCCCACCATAACACCTGACTATTTTTCTTTTCCTTCCTTTTTTTTTTTTTTTTTTTTGGTTGTAGTTGTCATTGTTGTTTGGCAGGCTGGGGCTGTATTCTAACCCAACTGCACCAGTGCATGTGGCTGGCACCCTGGCCACTGAGCTATAGGCGCTGAGCCAACACAGAAGATTTAAAAAAAAGTTAAATAGAACTACCAAAGCTGAGAAACATCCCTAAAAATGAAAAGCCTAGTATATGGGTTTAAGGGGAGATTAGATAGATCTGCAGAGGGAATAAGAGAAAGGTCATAAAAATATAAACAAAAGCCCAAACAGACAAAAAGATGAAAAATACATCATAAACAGCAAGAAACATCAAGGATATATTGAGAAAGACTAACATAGGTTTAGGCATGTAAGAGGAGAACAGCAAGAAAATTTAGCACAGCCTATCTCGACAGATGAGTAAAGAGTTTGTCCAAACACATGAAACACATCAATCAACAATGTAAAGATGCTCAAGGAATCCCAAGCAGTATAAATATAAGTAAATTCTATACCTAATACAACCTCTATCAGTTGACCACAAAGGGACTCTAACAAATTGATCAACATACAGAAGTGGTGAGCATAGGAATTAGGCCCACTATACAGATGCATACATAGTGGCTGTCCAGTCTACAAAAATTAGGTCAACTTAAGGAGGTATTCAATGTAGGGAGGTGATTAACTATGAAGGTTCTACTGTATAGCACAGCAAAATTTTAGAAAACCAAAGGCAAAAAGAAAATAAAAAGAAAGATTACATTTATAGAGGCAACACAATGACAAACGATTTTCAACAACCAGTAATAAAAGCCAGGAGACAGTATAATTATACTTTTAATATTCAAAAAGAAAAAATTAAAACTGCCAAAATACTATATCCTGAAAAAATGCTTTCAATAATGAAGCAAAATAACATCATCTTTAGACAAACAAAAAGAACCAAGAAATTTGATACTAACAGAACATACAAAAATAAATTCTAAAGATTATACCTTCAACAGAAGTAAAATTATCCCAGATGCAAAGTGTAAGATATGAACAGTAAATAGAAATATGTTAGATAAATCTAAAAAAGTATTAAATATGTAAAATATTTTATAAAATTAAAAAAATTACAATATAAGCAATAGCATGTAAATTAGGGTAATGGAGATTAACTGTTCTAAAAGTCTTGGCATTGTTTTAGAAAAAAAAAAACATTTCTTAATTTTAGACTTTAATAAATATGACTAATGAGATTTTAGGAAATAATTTCTAAAAGATGAGAAAAAGAACACATAACTTTGAGAACAGGGAAAGAGAAAAGATAAAAGTAATCAATCCTTAAAAAGGCAAGAAAAAAACCAACAAACCACCATGGAATAGGTAGGACGAATAGAAAACATTAGTTATAGTAGATTCAACTCCAAATATATAGTTATTTGATATTAAATACATAAAGACCAAAGGCTTCAGTAAAATAAAAGATAGATTGTCAAATTGTATAAAAATTAAAATCCAACAGAATACTGGTTGAAAAGGCACATTAAAAACATAAAACCAAGTACAGTCTGAGGTTAAAGAATAAAAGAAAATAAATTAAAAAATTATACTCAACATATAACAAAAGCCCATATTAAATAAAGCTAAATGAGACATAATTATGAGAACTAGATAAATCAATCATAGCAGATTTTATCACACCTCTTGTAGTAATATAGAATATGTAGACTACAATCATTATTCCTAACAAAATAATTAGCACATGTAGAATACACTAGTGAATAAAACTGACCAATCTATTATATAAATGAGAATAAAAATACAGAGGAGGTATAGAAAAAGCCACCATTAGCAATAGAAAAAAAGGGGACAAGGCTATAGATGTGAAGAAATTCAATACAGAGTAGGATACTGCAGAAAATTTAATGCTTGTCAAGCTCAAATTTTAGATCAAATGCTTTTCTTCTATGAAAATATTACTTACTAGAACTAACTCAAGAAACAGAAGCTGAAGAACATTGTTAACTATTAAAAATAACTGAATTAGCATAAATTTATTATTATACAATGAAATACTATGAGCAATGAAATGCATACATACTAAAATCATGAACGAAAAGCAAATCATTAAGATGAAATAATTTGATTCCACCCACATAAAGTTCACATCAGATCAAACTAAATTGTATTATTTAGGGAGGTATACACTATTGGTAAAACTATAAAGAATAGTGAGAAAGCAATACCCTGAAAGTTTAGATACATGTAGGATAACTGAGGACATACGTGGTGGCGATGTTCTATTCTTGATGTGGAGTTAGGCAGATATTCATCTCACAATTATTTGTTAAGCTATACATTTATGTTTCAGAAACTTTTCTCTATGTTAAATATAATTTTTTATTGTGAAACTTAAAAACTATCAGAACAAAATTTTTAGTCTCATCAGTATAGAGTCAATAATCTTTATAATAAGTATAATACAGTAGTACATTTACCACCTTTTAGTATATTTTGCTTCAGAAAAATGAATAGAAGTGAACAATCCAAATATTTCTAAACTACATTACCAATACTGCTCTATATTTTTCATCACAAATACAATAATCTGTAAGAGTGTAGTGTGCTCAAGCCAAGTTTTCCAAACCTTCTTAATTACCTAAACCCCACCTTCACTGTGCTATATCTTTCTTTTGCATAAACTACCATTACCACTATCATCCAGAGAGAAAAGAGTTAAGATTAATTTAGTCCTAGCTCCTCTTTTTGATATCCTTTGCTTCCTATCAACAGAAGCATTGGCTTCCTTGATCTCAAATTTTAAAATGATGGGTGGTGAAGTCATCAATTTCAAGTCAAAGATAAGGATGCAGAAGGCCTGAACAATTTCTGCTCTCACTAAGCCTGACAGACAAATCTCAGCATAGACAAGGGAAAATAAACGTTTTTCCTTTGTGGAAAAGAGACAGACAAATTTGAAAAAACCCACAGAATCACTCATGCCTACACTGCTGAAACCAATATCCATTTGGAAGGAACTATTAAAATTAGAAATTATCACTGTCACTACATATATACAGATATAATAAGTAAAACATATAATGTACTTACCATTTCCATTAATAGACAGATTGTGAGTCTTGAAATTATCCTCTGCACTTTCCAAGGTTAGGGTAGTATGAGCAAGCAAATTATACTTTACACCACTAATAGTGAGAAAGAAGAAAAAGAAGACATGTAGTATTTTTGTATGTTTTCTATTATATAAAATATTCAGATGTTCAAAAACAAAACAATAAACCTAATTTAAAAGTGGGCAAAAGACTTGAATAGACAGTTCTCCCAAGATGATACACAAATCACCAATAAAAACATGAAAAGATGCTCAACATCATTAGTAATTAAATCAAAACCACAATGATATCGCTTCACATCCACTAAGATGGCTATTAGTAAAACATACAAATAAAAACCCAGAAAATAACAAGTGCTGGCTAGGACACAGAGAAACTGGAACTTTCGTGCATTTCTAGTGGGAATGTGAAATGGTATGAGAGTATGGTGGTTTCTCAAAAAATTAAAAATAAAATTACCATATACTTTTCTGGGTATATATCCAAAAGAACTAAAAGCATAGAATTGAATAGATAATTATACATCCTTTTTCATAGTAGCATTATTCACAACAGCCAACAAGTGAAAGGAACCCAAGTGTCTCTCCAGAAATGAATGGAAAAACAAAATGTGATATATATCTGTTACAAGATACTACTTAGTCTTAAAAAGGAAGAAATCTTTGACACATGGATGAACATGGATGAACCTTGAAATCTTATGCTAAGAGAAATAAGCCAGTCCCCAAAGGGTATACAATATAGTTTCACTTATACTAAGTATCTAGAATTGTCAAATTCGGAGATGAAATAGAATAGTGGTTGCAGGGGCTGGGAAAAGGAGAAATGGGGAATTGGTGTTTAATGGGTAGAAAATTTTTGTTTGGGAAGAAGTAAAAGTTATAGATGATGGTGATGGTTGCATAAAAGTGGACATACCTAATATCTCTGAACTATATATTTGAAAATGTTTAAAATGGTAAATTTTATGTTACATAAATTCTATTATATTCTATCACAAAAATTAAAAAATTAGATATGGCAAATTTATCGTCAATACAAGTAGTATGTTTATTTCTTTATGATAGTTCGTCAATAAAATTTGCAAATAACTTGTTTTAATTCACACAATTGTTTTTCTGAAGGGTTACGAAAACTATTCTTCAATAAATATTCACTAAACACCTAAAATATGCCAAGTCCTATGCTGGATGATAGACATTCAAATGTAAACAAGATGCAGTATTATATTCTGGCATATCTAGGAGGAAAGAAAAAGCATAAGCAGAGGAATAAATCAAATACCAGCATTTGCAAGTTGTAATGCAAAGTTTTCTATGAAAGAAATGAAGGGGAAGAGAAAACTGAGGATCTACATTAGATAGGTAGATTGGGGAAAATCTAAGGAGGTAACAGGGAGTCGTCACAAAAAGATCTAGCTAAGCAAAGAATACAGGACAGTACTCCAAGCAGAGAGACAGAACGTACAAAAGGAGGGTTGAGAGTAAACCAGGGTGGTGGAGCACAGCAAGCAAGCGGAAGTGTGGTGCCACACAAGACTGGCAAGATAGGCAGGGCTTGATGAGTCCTGGAAGAAGGGTGGATTTAATTCCAAGTGTAGTAAGAAGTAATGGAAACTTGATAAGGAGAATAATAGGATCTGATTTACATCAACTTGCCAGGAACCAAGACTGTCTTCTTGATGAAACACTCACCTGGTTCCTCTATGTTCTCTTCTCAACCAGACTTCAACCGTGGCCTATAAAGACTTGAACAAAACTCTAACGTTGTTTTTAACAACTCAAGCTTGCATTCCCAGAATGTCCTTAGATCACCTTAAAATGTTTGCCTGAGAAAACTCAATGTTGTCCAAAGAATTTACTGTTAGTTTCAGACGACACCTGAAGAAAGGGTCCACATCTCCCAGCCTCTATGGGAGGGCAGCATCTAACTTCACTAAATTCCAGCTAACACATCCAGATGGTATGGACCAAGGACTTTCCCGCTGTTTGGAAATCTTCACTTCTCTGATTGAGCCCAGCTCATCCCTTCCCTATTTGTCCTTCTCCTTTTAAAACATCCAGTTGTCTCCACACAAATCAAAGTTGAGGGAAATTCATGCGGGATTGTTCTCCCTATTGCAATAATATATTACTGATTAAAATCTATCCATACCACTTTAACTAGTGTCTAGCTTTGCTTATCTTCAAGAGAATGTATCTTGTCTCATTATCTACTTCAAAGATTTGGGGGCTTTATCTGTAGTATGGGAAAATGAAGGACTTTGTTATTAATTCAATGTCTTTCATTTTATTACAGCCCACTTTATAGTACTTATGTTAAAATAGCACTCTTGTCAAAAATATCTAGAAATTCTGGTGATGAATTTCATATCCTGGTACTTTCTGTGGTGATAAAAAGTAAAGTTTTTTTCAATAACAACTATATTTTCTGTGCTAGCAATCTTATTTCATGACAGTTTTTGGTTTTATTATTTATTTTCCAAAATAGTAAAATCTCAAAATTCAAAACAGCAGAGTATGTTTCAAAAAAAGACACAGCCAGATATAGAAGAGATGGATGTCTGACAGAAATTTTTATTAATTGTGCCAGGTGATATGTTTCATAAATCTCCTTTGTCTCTTACTAAATCTTTAATAAAATTTTTATTACAAAGAAAAAACACACATACGTTAGCAAGTATGCAATGCACGCATGTGCCTCTTCAATAAATAAAAGCATACCACATAGACTACTGCTCCCTACCTATTAAACAACCATTATAGACCACAGAGATATGTCTCAATATCAATGCTATTGGTCAAGGTTTACATAGGAAAATTTGTTTCTGTCTCCAAATCTCAACATAAGATTTTTACCAAAAAAGTCCATGAATAAAATTTTAAGTTATGTTCTAATACAATCAGTATACTGTCAGACTTGGAAGAGTTTACTGAGCATCCATAAATCTCCCCTGATGCTAGAACTGAGAGGCACAAGCCTCATACTCAGTGGGGAATATTCTCTGCTATTATTCACTTACCTTGAACAAGTTTCTATAGTGAATTTCATAATTAACTTTTATTTTTGCCTAGTGTTCACAGAATGAGTCCCCCCAAAGTTAAGGAAGCATTAAAAAGAAAATCTGTCGAGAACAAAAATTGAAGTAATTGAGAATAGCAATTATAATGGGAAGAGTAAGTATTACTACACCCCAAACTGCCTATTAACAATCATATTAATTGTTTAGTGATCAGAGTGCAACATGTTAAGCACTATCTCAACACGATAATTTGCCCCTTATGTTTAGGTTTTGTGGAACTGGATTTCAGAGAACTAGATGGCAGTTTTAAATTGATAAAGCATTATAAATGTTCCCATTTAAAATAATGGGAAATAGACTTCCTGTTAGCATTTCATTGCAGAGTATGTTCTTTTCAGAAAATGATTATTGACCTTAAGTAGAGTTGCCTGCATTTGCCAGGCATTGTTCTAGGTCTAAGGCTGCAATAATCAACCAAGGGGGTAGAAGGAAGTCCATTTCTCTCATAAAAGAGGAAAAACATGCAGATAAATTATATCAAATCCATGAGGCTAAGCAAAGCACGGTTAAGGAGATGAAGGTGATGGGAGAATGTTTATTTCAGGTAAGAAAAGAGGAGGAAGGAGTATCAGTGAAAAATAACATTTTAGCAAAGACCTGAAAACCATAAATGGGCCATGTAAGAACAGGAAGAGGACAGAAGCAGAAAGGCTAAGGTGAGCATATGCTAAATATGTCTGAAAAAACACAGGGAGGCCAATGTGGTTAGATAGAGTGAGGGAGGAGGACAGCAATACAAGACGCCCAAACATAAGAGGTGGCAGACACAACACATCGCAGTCCTGGTCGGGCATAAGGACACTAGGTTTTACTGAGTGAGACGTGAAGCCAACAGTGGGGCTTTGAGCAGAGGCATGCGTTATGATTTTGTGTTTGAATCATACCTAAATGATCCCTCTGGCTGCTGAGTGGGATATAGTAGTGGTGATAAATGGCAAGAATCTTCACACATTCTCAAAGTTGGTTTAATATGAACATGAGATATAAAAGGAAGGAATGAAGGATATCTGTAAGACTTTGGGTCCAAAGTGCCTAGAAAAATGGAATTGTTATTAACTGAAATAGATACATGAAGTAAGAATTTAGTTTGGCAAGTAAGTTTAAGATTGTTTTAAATATCTAGATGCATTACAGGGTATGAAACTAAATACGAGTCTGGAATTAAAAGAGGAATGAGTATTGGAGATAATAAACTTGGGCATAACCAGTATAAGTATGAAATTTAATGGAACTTTGGGAACAGTAGAATAGCTCAGTCACATTAAGAACTCACTTAAAGTTACCAATCATGTGTCTCATGCAAGACCAGCAAGTACAATGGTGTTTTTCTCCAGCTTCCTCATCTATTTCTCTTAAGTGCAGAAACCAAAAGTGAGCTTTAACCAAGATTGGAGTTTTTCCAAGGAGAGAGATGTTAGGCAAGACTTAAATGGTGAATCATCGAGTCTAAGCTATGGTGGAGTCAAAAGCGCTGACAGGAAGAGCCTGGGAACGTGGGAGATGGTAGAACGGGGGATACTTACTATTAAGATTTTGCAATTATTGGTAATGACAAGAACTAGGGTACAATCATGGGGTAGGCACTGAAATGGATGACAAGACAATATCACTGAAGGTAAAGTCATGAAACTTAAGTCTTGACTCATGTATGCTAATTCTATCATGAAAAAAATCTGAAATGGTGAAAAAGAATGAAGAAACTTTTAAATTTTAAGAACGGCACTGTAATTTATTCTCACTGAACACAAAAATATTTACGTAGTCTTCACCTCAGGAAGACTCACTCCAATTTACAGTGGAACATAAAACAATGTTATTAGCCTGGACAGAAACTGCATACTGGATTTGCACTGGGTGAACTGGAGAAGTGGCATGTTTTTTATTTTTATTTTTATTTTTTTTATTAAATGATAATTATATACATTAATGCAATTCTGGGGTATAGTGTGGTGTTTTCACATACAATTTGAAATATTTTCATCAAACTGGT